ACACCAATATTTTAAAAAGAATTTTTTTTTTTTTTTTTTAATGTGTATAAAAATGCCAATTTTTGTAAATACAGGTATTCATATATGACGTAATTAAAAAATAAGTGATAACTATAGTAAATTTAAAGCCAAAGTATCTAAAATTCAATAAAACATTATGGAAAATATTTTCCTAAATTTTGAAGATTACTAAGGACTTAAAAATCATATAAAAAAGGTGCTCACATTATATTCCCCAATTACTTTTTACTGATATGAAAAACGTTAAATAAACTTATATCTGTCATTCAAGCTGTCAACACCTTAAATAAACACTCCAGTTAGTACCTGGCTCTTCCTGCTATCCTTTACCTTTACAAGAACCAGATCAGGCCAAAAATGAAGTACTTCTCTTATATATGGGCAGGAGCAGCCCTTACTTTCAAGTCTTGATAGAGTCCAAAAGCATATCCACATACTTGTAGGTCACAAATTATTTTCCACCCTACAACCCCTTTCCCACAGACAAAACATCACAAACCTTTCTCTGCTTTATTGCTATTTCCATGAAAAGCGTTCGGACAAACTACATTCCTTAGTTCCACCAGTTCTAACCTTCATGGCTAAGATCTGCCATACCACACACATTGTAGTGAACCACCTCATTCCCTTTGTATTCCAATAATGAGATGGAAGTTCTACTTGAGCAGCTTCTCCCCATAAATCACTGCTTTATGGAATTGACTCTTAAGAGAATACTTTTCTGATCACTAAAATCTTAACCTGTTCATATCTAGTGTTAACCATTATCTTCCCCATATATTCCCATATTGGAGAGGACCAACTGTAATGACAAATGTATGATCCTAACAACTAATGATATGTAGCATTTAATAAACTCGGAGTGCACTAACATATGACAATGTTCAATACAAATCTCTGTAACTAACTCCAAAAGCTGAGCTCCATAGAAAAAAAAGGTAATGTTGTGCATGTGCGGTGTGACTATCCAGGTATTATTCTTTCAGAGAACTTAAAAGATAATGAAACGCTAAATGTGCATCTATACATCCAGTATCAGTTTGAGTGAAAAGCACTTGTGCTCATCAATAGGATAAATTTTGTTCTCCATGACAATGCAAGAACATCTACAGCACTAATAAAACAAGAAAAAAACTTGAAACTTGGTTGGTCTGTTCTATCCCAACCACCATATTCACCTGACCTTGCACCAACCAATTATTACTTTTTTTTTTTTTTTTTTTTTCAACTTTGATGGGGAAACTTTATTGAATAAAAACCAAATTCAAGAGATTGTCAAAAACTTTCACATCAAGTCCTGCAGAATTTTACTCTAACTAGAATTTTTTGCAACACACTGACATATGTTGAAATTGTCACAATATTTAGTAATGTTGAAGTTATCACTAACATTTTTTTTTTTGTCGAGATTTACAGATTCCATGTTTTATTCAATTTTGCAAACTAATCAATGAAATTTGAATAAGCCGATTTGTTTAGGAAAATACTTTGACAAAAACCCTACTTCACTGTTTAATAATTTCTTTAATTTTATATAAATTCTTAGGATTTCTTACTCTTGGGCATGCAACATACAACTGGCTAGGTGTAAATATTTCTTTTTGGAGCCAAATTCCGTTTGGCCTTGTGATTTGTTTATAGTTCTTGCAAATGTAGGGTAAACTAGAAACTGAATTTTTGTATATATAAAAACTTAAAGAAAAGATATGCAAAAATAATATTGCATTTTTATTTAATAAGTATTTTAATCATTAAATTGTTTTTAAAATAATGGGAGTATGTTATGTTAAATAATATAGTTTTTAATTTTTACCAAAAAAATTAATGAAAATTTATTGTACTACACACCCTAGTAAAACCAACTGTACTTTGTACCCCCTTACCTGTTTGCACTTCTCCCCAAAATTTGGTTTCAATTTATCAATGTATGGCTATTTTAGAGGGTGTGATGGATGTACTAACAGAAGTCATAGAATTTTATAGATAGATAGAGAGAAGGTATCACAGAGCTGCCAACAACTCATTGCCAATAATGGTGAATATGTAATTGAATAAAATTTAATTGGACATTATTTTTGAAAGAATAAAATTGATTTAAAAAAAAAAATTATTTATGAGTCAGCCTTATATTAATTTTATATTAGTATGTGTCTGGTAATATAACAGTAGGCCTTTAAAAGATAGTAAATTTATGTCACAAGAGCAAATGAAAAAATGCCTAAAAAAGTTATTTTTATAAAATTTATAATTACAGTTGTCATTAAATTTTTATTTTCTTGTTCTATAGGTATTTTTATAAATTGATAAATAAAAAAAGATTGTTTTCATAGTTAATTTATAATCTGGTAAATAATAAATATTGCATTTTTATAATCTTGTAACTATGAAATTTTCTTGTAAATAAGCTAATAAATAATGTTTAATATTTTATTGTCAATTCTCAAGAAAAAAGACAATGTATAAATCCAATATCATGTTTGTTTTATGAAAATTCTAAAATAGCTTTTTAAAAAAACAAAAATTGCCAAGGGAATATACATTAATAGTGGTGTCAGAAGAAAAACCAACCTTTTGTCAAACATTTTTTTTCTTTGTTTTATCTTTGCAGGTACATTTGTTAAAATTTGCCATATGATTTGTACTTTATATACTATCAAAGGCAGATCTATTAATCTATTATCAAGCTAACAATACTTAAACTTTGGGACTCCTAATCATGAGAAACACCCCAAACAGTAATAATAAATATAGTATAGAAGATAAGGAAATTGAATATAGAATAGGCTGCACTAGGGATGGTTTTGCCCAACACCACAAATTGCTACAAAACCTTAACCTAAAAACTCAAGTCCTGTTCTTAAATAACTTTGTCAGATCAAAGACATTCATATCAATATCAGGCATGGAACCAGACACGTTCAGAAATATCTAAACTGTCAGCTGTATACATTTGCTTTCTTAGATTAATGATTAAAAATGGCTTGGAGCAAATGAACCACTTTTCTTTGAACTTCATGGACTGGCACTACAGAATCACAAAGAATTGTACCAGATAACAGAAACCACATCACTTGATGACTTTCAATAGCAGCAACATCTAAAATGGATATCACATGTAATTCAAAGAGAAAATAATGATATAATCAAAATATTAACTTTTCAATACAAAATGATATAATCAAAATATTAACATTTCAAACAAAATGTTAGGAAGGAAGCCCACATTGATACTGGAAAGAGCAATAACAGCTAATGGACATGAGAAACCTATTTTCTTGAAAAACTGTTTTAAGAGAAAGATTTTATAAATTCCAACCAGTGGTAGCACTGGATCACTCAGTCAATGAATGCTGAATATTTCCTTATAAGGAAACTGCTAATATTACCATCACCAAAGCAATTTTTTTTTTTAAGATTTTGCTATTGATGTAAGAGTAAGTACTTTGATGGCAATTGATCGGATGAGCTCTTCAATATGGTATCTAGATTTTTTGAATTTATGTGCAGTACTAGACTAGTGTCAAGATCTCATCAATTTAGAGTTGAGCTAGCAAGATGTAACTGTAAGTTCTATGCTAACAGTTTCTTCTCTCACACAATTTGCTTGTGAAACCCCCTTTTGGCTCCATACTTTCCAGTCAACTTTAATCTGCAAAAATTTAAATGCAATGTCAATTACTGTCCTCTTGATTACTCTTTTCTTTTTGCACTCATTATTTGGGTTCCTAATTGTTTCACACTCCATAACCCCTCATGTCTTAGGGTGTCCCCAAAAAGGGAAGTGCCAAGGGGGCTTAGGCAGTTTTTCCATGGTATTGCCATCAAAACCCTCTCTAAATCTCGACCTTATGTCACATTTGGTAGCGATATGTGTTTGCTGAAAAAAATACCTGTCCTTGTAATTGATCAAATTTTTAAATTTTCTCTGTGGCTTGCAACAACTGAACCCTCAGTTGTATGAACTTGTTGAACTCACCAATATCTATTCATAGGCTATACTTTTGCATCTCGATTCTTCATTTCTTTGTTCATGTACAGCTGAATAGTTTTGTAGCCCAGCCCTTAGGGTAGAGCCAATCAGTACCATAAAGACATTTGAAATCTCAGTTCAAGTGGCAATTGTCTTGTTTTGTACACTTTAACACCAAAAATCAGATTTTCATCTTTTTATCCTAACTGGTCCTCTCTGATGACCTTCTACCTTTTGATGAAGATGACCACAGTGATCCAGATCTTGTCACAGGTGGGAAGGGATCACTGTATGTCCCATTTTTCATTTTCAACTCTGTTCTCTGCCATTTGGGCACAAGGTCCTTGTAATAGCAGCAAGGACTTTTGAACTCAGTTTGATTTTTTCCCTATTGTTGCTGGTTGAAAAAGGGTACTGGGTCAAACAAATGTAGACCCACCACTGTAGAACATATTTATATTCAGTACAAATAGTTTATTAAGAAATAATGTTTATAACAATGGGGAAATGCCGTATTTTCTTGTATATATATGAACACACATTTCTGAAGCTAAAAATGGAATAAATTACATCCTTGAGTACAATACAACCATGTAGTATTAAAACTAATAATGTAAAAATTAGTACTAGTAGTATGTGTTGTTTTGTCTACATAATACTGATTTATCAATGTTTATTGTTTCTTTTTAGCTTTTTCCTTTTTCTTTTCTTCTTTTTCACCTTTTTTCATCTTTTTTTCACAATTTTTTTCATCTTTTTTTCACAATTTTTTTCATCTTTTTTCTTCCTTTTCATCTTTTTTCTTCCTTTTCATCTTTTTTCTTCCTTTTCATCTTTTTTCTTCCTTTCTTTATCATATTTAGTAAAAGAAATTTTGATGCTTTAATTTCTTTTAATTAAAAGTGTCTCTTGATTATTTTCTAGTTGGAATGACAGCATTTCCTTTTCTTTTTTTTCTTTTTTCCACTTTTCCTTCCCTAAGCAAATCCATTGAATTTTGTTATTGCAGATATTACCCTTGAGGACTTTGCAAATTCTTCTCACAAACACACTGATTTTAGATTGAAAAAGGGAGCACTGAATGCAATTCAAAAGGAAGGTAAAAAAAAAAAATTATTTTTATTTGAGATATATATATATATATATATATATATGAAAAAAAAAAATCACCTGCAGTAAGTTTTATGAAATCTTCTTTCATAAGTGTAATTTCTGTCTACGAAGTTAAAACTTCCTTTTTAACTGAAAAAAATAGGCAACATAAATATTGAAAATATTTTTTTCTGTTATTTTTTGGTAACCCTATATTAAACCCTTTCACTGTCAAATAATGTAGTAATGTTAATTGAATAAAAAGCAATAATATACTGACAATGGTTAAATCTCGCATTTATTAAATTTGCTACTCGCTTTGAAAATTACTTTGTATTGTCAGATAAATTTGTTTTTATTTTAATCCTATTATTAATTAATAATTTTAACAAATCAAACAATAATATAAACAAAAAACAAAAGTTGTAGTGGAAGAATAGACTCCTGGAAAGCAACATACTGTGCCTTCTTGGTCTAACATTTTTAACTGACTTGAAGTGGAGCAACTACATTGAATCAATAGCTGCATCTATTGCAAGGAAAGTTGGGTCACTGTGTCATGCCAGAAAATTTTTCTTGTTAGAATTCTTCTTGCATATTTACAAATCTACCATTCATTCATGCATTGAATACTGCTGTCATATTTTCTCTGGTGCTCCTGCTATTCATCTTTAGGTTCTTGATAAAATCCAAAAAAGGATCTGTAATGTAATCAATCCTGACTTGGCATCTCGACTTCAGTCACTTTCTCACCAACGTTGCATAGCTACTCTCTCTTTTCTACAAATATTTTCATGGCAACTGCTCTCATGAATTTAAACATGCTACTAGATTGGCATCTAGGTTCCACTCATTTACTGTTAAAATAGCTATATGCAACTGCCACTTCTACTCCAACAGTTTCTTTTCTTGCACTTCCTGCTTATGGAACACCCTTCTGTTTATTTGCTTCCCTGATAACTACAATCTTCAAAAATTTAAATGCAACATCAATTGCCATCTTCTATCTCCTTGAATCCCATTCATTTTTTATCCTTTCCTCAATCCTCGCTATACTCAGTCTTTTCTCTCACTTTCACTCCCTGTTAGTGGCATTTCTGCCTTTGCTTGGGGTGAAATGATTTTACAAAAAAAAAAAAAAAAGAATAGAGATACAAAAAAAAGAACACGGAACACTATGGTAAAAATATTTTCCATATTAATTCAAATAATATTGGAAAAATCAAACAAATTTATCTGACTACCCAAAGTAAGTTTTATACAAATTTTAGAAAGGTCTTCCTATATTTAATGCGACTAAGAATCAAAGGAAATCTCTAGTAAAACAATTCTCTTCTCTCTTTTGAACAGGAGTAGAGGTTTATCCCTTGTTTCCTGTTTAAGTTTTCCGATTCCTTCTAAAGTCTTTTCATTTTCTTTCACTCCCAGTAACCCCTTGTATCTTGGTGGCATTGTCACCTTGCTTGAGATGAATTAATTTAAAATAAATAAATACATAAAAATAAAAATTTGACTTTTTTTTCAACATCAAGAATTAGACAAATAAGTCTTCCTTAACATTCTCAAAATATATTGACTGTTTTCTGCCAACTTGTACTATGTTTGACATGTCTCCAAAAAATGTTTTGTCATCTTTTAAAGAGACTGATTTTCTTGTCAGTTGAAAGTAATTACAGTCTTCATGATTAGAATATACTTAAGTCTTGCTCTTACATTAAAAGCAGTCCAAACAAGTCTGTGTATAATAATTTCACATCTTAAAAAAAAAAAAAAAAAAAAAAAAAAAATCTGACCGTTTCCATTTAGTTAAACTCTATTGCTACCCTAGACAGTACTCAAGTGTTGATGACACGTTCAATTCATATGCTTCTTTAAATTGCTTGATAATTTTATCTTGTCACACCATACAACCAATCTTTGGTTCCATCCACCAGATTCAGTCTTGTGACATGACCACTCATGTCCATCCTTATCACAGCAGCTGATTCAAAATGTGATACTCTACATTGCGATTATTAAAAAATGGAGAAAGAGTCTATTTTGCCAGTCCTGGTAAAATAGACAAACATGTCTATTTTACAGAGGCTGTTAAAATAAGCTTAAAAAGCTTATTTTACTGGTCTCTGTAAAATAGACCTTCAGGCTAACATTTTTATCATTATGAAGGCAAGTAACATTTTTATTATTATGAAGTTAGGGATTGTTAAAAATAACACACAGATTTAACACAGAAGTTTATTTATTTCCACCATCAATTGTTAAGACAATTTAAAACCTTTTCCACCATGAATTGTTAAAACAAGTTAAAATCATTTATTCATCATCAATTATTAAAAGAAATATAGAAATCTCTGAATATTTTAAGCACTTCATGCATAAGTCTCTGCAAATCCCAAACTTGCCCTTGGGCATGGTTCTCTTGCCAAAACATTTAAGGTGTACCCACTGAAGACAACAGTCACAGACCACAGAATCCATATTGCTCAAGTCCTACCTAAACAGCTCACACAACCACTGTGCTATCTCAAATATAATATATTCTTAGTTCTAAAACACTATATTTATATTTGGAAAAATAATCTTGGTGTCTATTTTACTGTGACAGGCAAAATAGCCTATTCAAAAGATGAAGAGGTACATTGTTGTCTCTGGTCAAGAGACATGCGCCAGTAACTGGCAACTTGTAGAAGTACAGGATGAAAGATTTTAATGTCATTAAAAGTTTTTTGGTGCTGCAAATCTTAAGATTTATTTCAGTAACAAAATAGATTGCAGGTTGCTACAGCTGATTCCTTGGACCAAATAAAGCCAACACATAGTATTACCAATCTGGTTTTTAGGAGCTTTCTCTCAGCAACTGATTTTAAATCTAACTTCTGTCAGCTTCAAGATTTGACTTAGACAGAATGCTTTTTTGTAGCATTGCCTTAAATCCTGTAACTTGGCAATTCCTGCTCACAATTGATTTTACTGTCACTGTACACCTGAATATCAAATGCACTACTTGCCTTTGCTATATTGGCAACACCCTTCACGGTGGAGTCGGTCTAAAGTACATTGTATCTAAAAACAGTTTCTCCTGCAAAGGGGAACAAAGATTCACACCCTGCCAGAATGCCCATCTTTTTCTTTAAGATTTCTTAAATATTCAGGTCAATACACAAAAATAAATACACTTAAAATGAATGAAGCATCTACTCAAATATCGCAATTCAATAAAAATGTTTAAATTGATAAAAATCTGCCAGATTAATAAATAAAGAATCCATTAGTTTAGAAATTACACATGAATGTATAGAAATTTACAGAATTAAGTCCACCTTCAAACAATTCAATCCAATTGGTTCCAATAACCACACAGTTCAAAAAGAGGCAGTTTCCCTCTGTTATTGCTAGTTCATCTTAATGGCGAGAACTAGCACTTGACAAGAAAAGAGAAAGTACACTTCCTCATTACATAATCAAAAGCACATGTTTACGCACACATATTTATTCCAGGGTTTCACTCCAAATTTTTATTTTCAACAAATTTACTTGTCACGCTAATCTGAACCCACGTCAATATCCTCAATAGTTCACATATTTTAGTCAAAACAAATACCTGGGTTTGTTTAACCCAACTCCACTTGGATGTGCAGGTGGTGGAATGGATAATGGCTTGGAATTGTTAATCAGAAAACTGAGTTTTCTAATTCCAGTTGGGTTCGTATATTCACTTATGCACAAATACCCTTTGAAAAGGTATGAATCCACCTCTTCTCCCCCCAGCTATGGGTTAATTAGTAAAACTTGTATCACTAAATCATTATCTCCTAAAAAAAAAAAAAAACAACAATCAGATCAATTCCTATAATTCTTTCTACACTTAATTTTTTTTTTTTCACTAAACAATTAGCTTCCTAGAAAAGATGATCAGTTTTATGAATGTCTGACTGTATTACGCCCCATGTAAAACCATTGTGTCATCTCCTCCCTATAATTGTTTACAAAATTTTAAAACTAACATCAATCACTCTTTTCTTCATTCTTGTAAAACTCTATTGCGCATAGAACTTGAAAATTAAAAAGCTATGTTGACCTCTTTATGGATAAGTGAAGGAAAAAACCTTGTATCATACTTTATTTAAATATGACTTCACTGTAGTAAACATTAAAATGAATTAACTGTTACTGTTTTATATGAATAAAATCTGTCAATATGGAATTATTGTTGCAAAGTAATGAAATTATTAGCAGAAAAATGTCAGTGATTTTCTTGAAACAACATTACATAATGAACAGAGGCCAAATTAGAAGAGATTTTGATATGAATATTTGACTACCATAAAATTGTGTATGACCTTATCTTGCTTTTCATGAATTACTTGCATAAAGAAATGCTGAAAAGTTCTTGGCTGCACCCACTTTTCAAAATTGGTATTTCAATGACCACCATATTTGGGAAATGGGGATTGTGCTAAGAACTTTTCAGCACCTCATCATACAAGTGGGCCCTAAGGTTACTAAGAGAATTTTCAATTTTCAAAGTTGCAGGTGTAACAACTGAAGATGTTATTTTCAAATCTTGAATGTTCAGTATTATCTTTTATTTTGTTTATAAGCTCAACAGCTGCAAAGGGCTCCCAGAGATGTTGCTGACAATTGGTTTGAAAAAGATATAAATGACTTTGACATTGTACATGTTGAAGAGGAAGAAGTACAAGAAAATCAGTCAGGTAAGATTATACTTGAGTTTTGTTATTTATTAAAATCTTGATTATAACAAAAGTATAATGCTAAGATTTTTACAAATACACTTTTTTCTTTTAATTTTGAAAAAAGGCCTTTTCTTTTTTCTTTTTTATTTAATTTTTGAAAAAAAAAATTGCCTTTTTTGTTTAAAGAAATTAGTTTCTATTGATTCCTATTGTCTATATTCCTATTTATGATCATGGAGTATTTTTCATCATATGAAAATATTGAGGGCTTTTTATTCCTTTTTAATTTAAAAATCTACATCAGTGTTTTTATAACTGTAAGGTTTTTTTGTTTTTTTTTTGTAAATATTATTTGTCAATTACAATTATACATGCAAGTAGTGTGAGGGGAAAATAGGTAGGGCAGTTGCAATAAAAAGGTAGTTTAGTAGGGGGTGTCAGAATAAAAGGATACTTTTGAGGAAAAAGGAGGGGAGGTTGGGAAAAAAATGAAGGAAGTGAAGATCAGAATAAACTGACAGGTTGGAAGAAAAACTGAAAATAAACTAAACTGGGTGTCTGGAACAGCAAAAAAAGAAATCCAAATTTAAATTAGCAGGCCGTTCTGGATGCGGCAATATATACTTGCCTGTTTTCTCTATGATTATGTGCTCAGTGCATCACTGTCTCTGATACATGGAGATGGAAATGCCCTATTTTACAGCAAAGGGATCAGACTTCTTGTCTATAATAGGCTGTCCACCACTATCTTTGGTTCAGCAGACAACCGATTAAAAGCAGACATGGCTTAGAGATGCGAGGCAGGGGGTGAAATGGTTACTAAATGGAGTGTTGGAATCCATGTTCAAATTTTGGCTGAGATTGCTTATGTTTTCTCTGCTTGAATGCATTTGTGGAACGACAGATTCTTTTATCCTGGCACTTTGTTCCCCCATCCCCACTGGATATCCATACTTAATGGTGAATATTTCTATCATAATTACTTTCCCTTTACTAGTAGCAATAAAAAGCTGTTACTTCTATTGTCATCCTTGCCAGTAACCAATATACACAACCAAAAGACCTTATCAAGAAAAAAAAATGGTTTCCTTTGCTCACTGATAAGCCAACATCAGATACTAACTTTGTACTGAAAATCAACCATGAAAGGTTGATAACTTTTTACTCTAGTTTTTTTTTTCTTTTTGTGTGTGTGTGTGTGTGTGTGTGTGTGTGTGTGTGTTTTCAACAGCCAATGTTGATTTCACATCTGCTGAGACCTGCTTATCTGCCCCCACCCTGAACAAAATATCAACACTGAATAAACTTTTTTTTTTCTTTTTTTTTTCTCTTTTACTTTTACATTCCAAAATGCACACCCTACTCTAAACATGCAGAATCTTTTAATTAGAATATCTCCTGCCCCATCCCCCATACTTCCCATTTTGGATACAACTCCCACAAATCACCTGCAGAAAATTTTTAAAGTGATCACCACGATATGTCCCAACTGGATTGGCTGATCTAGAGAGTGAAATTTGATGCAAGTCCTGATTAAATTTAATCACTACTAATATTATATTGGAGTGTTATAGTGTAAAAAGAATATTAGCTTCTTTTTCTTAATCATTTTACACCAACTAAGATGTTAATGCCACTAAGTGGTTACTAGGAGTGAAAGAGAATGAAAAGACTTTAGTGAGGAGAAAGGACAATAAAAGAACAGGATTCAAGAAGACAGAAGATGGTGATTGGCACTGGATTTAAATTTTTGAAGATTGTAGGTGGCAAGTAAGCAAGAAACTAGAAGGAAGTTCCACATGTGAGAAGTGCGAGAAAAGAAACTATTAGAATAGAATATACAGTTGCATCTAGCTAGCTCAATAGTAAAACAGTGAGACCTAGTTGCCAATCTAGTAGCACGCTTAAATTCATGCACTCGAAAGCACCAAGGAGAAAAGCTTATTAAAACAATTACCCTGAAAATATTTATAGAAAAGACATAGAGAAGCCATGACAGTGGTGAGAAAGTGACTGAAGTTGAAATACCAGATCAGGATCAAATACATTACCAAGCAGGGTGGTAGCACCTGTTAGTGACCCCCCCCCCAAACAAAAACAAAACACAATGAAAGTATAAAAATACATTTTTATAGTAAAAATATCAGCAATACATTTTTATATAAAAAAAATTACCAATGATACATATTTATAGTAGAATTACATTTTTAGAACAAAATGACCAACAATACATTTTATCTGTAGGTGAAGCCATAAACTATGTCCAAATATTCAGATTTTGGCATTAAATAATCCATAGATGTTGATATGCTGCAAAACAAAATCAACTGACCAACATTACAGACCCTTTGGATTTTGTCAAGAATCTTGAGATGTATTGCAGGAACTCTAGATATAACAGCCATATTGCATGCATAGATGAATGGTAAATTTATTAAAAAAAAAAAAAAAATTGTCTGGCATGACATAGTGCACAGAAAATGAAATTGGCAAGCAGAATTTTAATTCCAGGATGGTCTGTTGCATTCACTTCTGCACAAATGCCCTTAGGAAGGCATTTGTCTGTCCCTTTTGTTTGTTGCTTTTTTTTAATTTTCTTTTTTCTTTTTTTTCTTCAATTGTTTATTGCTATATACTTGTCGGTTGATGTAAAATTATTAAAATTATAGTTGAGTTATGACATTATCTTGTCTTAATTTTCCCTTTCTCTTGTTTTTTTAGATTCACATATATTTTTTAACTCCTGTGCCTGAGCAATTAGAATATTAGCACCCAAAATATGAGACTTTGGTTCAAATCTTACTGTAGTCAATTTGCAAAAGAGGTGACTTTGTGATATTATTACACCTGGGGGAGACAATTCCAGCATTGTTGGGAGGTGCATCAAAATCACACTAAGTGTTGACCCAAGCCTCGTGAGTGAAATTGGGAAGACAACTGTTCAAAAGCCATCAATTGTTGTGCTAGCACAAGGTCACAAGTCATTGTGCCCGAGGGTTTGAGCGTACAGGCCTTGTTCAAACTGATCATGCCAGATTATGTGCTCTCTCCTAGAAACTTTAACTAATATCTGCTCGACATAGTTGCAGCATAAAATCACAGGTTGGCTCTGTGCATGTTGGAGAAACTCGGATGTGCCTGAGCTGGTGTCTACAACATCCTAGCAGACATGTATACTCAGAAACAAGCAGTTACCTATATATATTATTGAAGGTTAATTGATAAACAAGGTCTCCAATTCTATGAACGGAATAAATATATTTCTCTTTAAAATTCATTTTTCAATATAGTCCTCATTCAGTGTGTTTTTAGGTTTGGGGTTGTAATTTGAAGTTGAGAAGGTGCCATGTGTTGACAAATAAAAACTGCAAGAGTTGAATTGGTTAAGAAAATAAACAAACTACAGAATTAATAAAATGAGATAAAATAAAAATTTCTATTGGAACTTTTTAGCATGGAGAATGTTCAAGGAATGTTCTTGATAGTCTCTGTTAAAAATAAAGGAAGAAATGATTGAACTTGGTGAATTAAAGAGTAAGTGGTAAGTGAGGTGTTTTACCTAAGCCATGTGTGTTTGTTCTCAGAGTGCTACGTTTAGAGTACGACCTTAACCCTAGCACAGTATGAAAGATGGATAACTGCAAGCTCCCAGTTTTTTTTATGCATGCCCAAAAGCAGAAAGAGTTGCTAATAGGGTTTTCAACACCGGTGCTGGTGAAAACAAAGTGTAGCCTCTGCTACACATTTTTACAAGCATTCTATCTAATTTTTTTCATTCACTCTGTGCACAGCAATTTCATCTTCAGCATGGAATGAAAAGTGTTTATCATAGAATGCCTCTTTTAATTGTGGAAACAAACAGAAGTATGAGGATACTAAATCGAAACTGGAGGGAGAGTATTCAACAATTCTGAATTGCATGCTTCTAACCATTCATGTCATTTGTCAACCGCAGTGTGTCCTTGTATTGTTATAATAATAGCGGACTTGAGAAATCTACTTTCCTGAAAAAAATTATTTTTAATAAAAAATTTTTTTTATAATAAAAGAATTTTTTTTATAAATTTCAACCAATAACATTACTGCACTCTTATTTTGAAAACAATTTTGTAAGAAAAAAAACAAAAATATGAAAAGATTTTTATTGAACAAATTACATTTTAGCATTTTCAGTTCTTCTTGATCAATCCAAGAACAAAATGTTTTTCTCTTGGATAACCAAAATTCCTTTCAGCAGTTCTGATTCCATGCATTTTTGCATTTTTTGCATAATGACACTTAATTGAAATTTAACTGCATATGATAGTCTCTTTAAATGCTTCTCAGTCAATGAATGCCAAATGTTTCCTTATAAGGAAATGGTCAATATTACCATTTTTTAGACATCTTAACCTTGCAATAGTCATCTCTGATTTCCAAAAATGGATAATCTCCTGAGGTGTTCACACACCGGAATACAAAAGTGCTTATAGTGTGACAATCATGTAAACTATTGTTGTACTGCTGAAAAAAAATAACGTAACAGGCAGTCTCCACTACACTATACATTAAATCAAAACTTGAACTGACAATATAATTATGCATTGAAATGAAAATTATAATAAATTTGTTGTAAATTGTAGGTGGAACACACCAATACAATTATAGGGTAATGTTTTATTCATCAAAAATATCCACAATATATTTCCATTAATAGAAAAATAAACACATATAATTATGAGTTTAATTTTCTGAAAGAGTAAGAACTGAAAGGACTGAAAGAGTAAGAAAATATATATAATATATATAAAAACATATAAATCATGAAAACTTACCTTCGTTAGTTGTGGGTGACAGGACAAACTGAAGAAGACAAAGCAACAACTGCCTCCCACAACAACTGAGCTACAACTGCACCACACCATATGATACACACCTTCACTGAGTCAGTGGGAGGGTGCAAAAGAAACCAGTTTCCATCTTGGAATTACAAGTACTTTAAAAATTTGGGGGTAACATATGCAGGGTTAAGGGCTGAAAAAATAAAACGACAAATTATTTTGCTTTCTAGGTACTTCAGCTTTTGGTGACACATCCAAATTAACAAAAGCACAGACTGCCAAGCAGCCAATGAAAATTGAAATACCAATTAAGCAATCACCAACACTAATTTCATTGAGCAATGTGATTGGTCAAGCACATTGCCATTTGAAATTCATTCTATTGTTAAAAATAACACCATCAAATGAGGTAAACTATGCATGCCTATTTAAATATAATTTACACATGGTTTGTATATATCATTTTATTTATATATCAGGATATAGCAAAACCAACGTGTCTTATACACTGAAAAATTCAGTAATTGTTCATTCAATGAATGCTGAATGTTTTCTGTATAGAAATTGCTAATCTTAACCCTTGCCATTCTGTAAATGCACTATTTATGTACTTGTAAGGTTTCAATTTTTTCATAGATTTGTGAATTTTGATTGGCACACAACCAACTAGTGCCAATAATTGCATCACCTATCATACTCAAACATTAGTACTTAATGAACACTATTACTCAATGCTATCACACAGCAAACTGACATGAAGCACCTTTTGAACAAGACTTTATATACTACCAAATAAATGTTTCTATCTTCATTATTTAGAAAGTTTAATTAACTATCAACCCTTATAATTACTAAACTTAGTATAAGAAGTTACTGAAAAGTTCTTAGCTTGACCCAATAATTCAAATCCGACTTTTCAGTACCCCATCACATAAAACAAGGCCAAATTGAGTGGGGAGATTATTATGGTAATCTTCTAAGTGAGCTTGAAGTCAACATTTAAAATCCACTCACTGGTATTGGTAAGAAATATGAGGATGTACTAAAAAGGTTACAAGCCAACTTACTCCCCTAAAGCTAATTTATTACTTTTTTCTTTTCTTTTCTTTTTTTTTTTTTTTTTTTTCTCTTCTTTTTTTACTTTTCTCTCACTCTTCTCTCTCTCCCTCTCACTCTTCTCTCTCTCTCCTCTCCTCTTCTCTCTCTCTCCCTCTCCTCTTCTCTCTCTCTCCCTCTCACTCTTCTCTCTCTCCCCCTCTCTCTCCCCCCTCTCTCTCTCTCTCTCTCCTCTCTCCCTCTCTCTCCCCTCTCTCTCTCTCTCTCTCTCTCCTCTCTCTCACTCTTCTCTCCTCTCTCACTCTTCTCTCTCCCTCTCTCTCACTCTTCTCTCTCCCTCTCTCTCTTCTCTCCCTCTCTCCTCTTCTCTCTCCTCTCTCTCCTCTTCCCTCTCTCTCTCTTCTCTCTCTCTCCTCTCTCTCTCCTCTTCTCTCTCCCCTCTCTCTCTCTCTTACTCTTCTCTCTCCTTCTTTTTTTTTTTTTTTTTTAACTTCTAAAGGGAATTCATAACCCATTTAGCATTTGCTGTTGCAAAATGTTACAGTTGCATAGATTTAGAATGTTAATGTTTTTCCTATTAAATCAAACAGCCATAGACATTAGGCATCTTTGAGTGTGTTTGAATTAATAATGAAATATTTTGTTTTTCAGACCGGCGTAAGTCAAGTAAGTCTTCAAAGAATGTATGTAAAAGTGTGAAAGAACCTGAAACTGGATGTACATATCCTGCTGATGTCTGGTATCTCTTATCATTATACATTTTTCCAGAAGATGTCTGTCGTTTTGCCTCCATTTGCCGATATGCCAATATTGCTATCAACACACTGACATTTTGGCGACATCTTTATCATCGGTAATGATAAACATATCATTTATTTTATTGTTTCTGTACCAAAGAATTGTGAGATTCTAACTGTAAAATTGTTTTGAGACCAGATATCATTAAAAAAAACAAAAGTATAAAATTCCTTTACATTTTATTTTGCATTTCACAAAATTTGCGAACTAGTTTCTTCTCTGTACTAATGATTATAAAAATGTCCATTTGAATTGTAAAAATTGTGAGTAATTGAATGACAAAATAGAAAAAAAAAATTTTTTGGCATGTTCCTTCAAAAAGACTTCTTCAAAATAAATATCTTTATCGATGGGGTCTTGTATATGTAGCAGGAGAGAATGAAATATAAACAAATGTTGGTTATAATTGAGAAACATTGAAAGAGTGGGGACCTATAATTATAACCGACATTTGTTTATATTTCATTCTCTCCTTGTACACATATATAACATCTTATCAATACAAAACATTTAGTCTGAAAATGTCCTTATGAAATGAAAAACATGTCATAGGATTTCTTGTATTTTGTCATTTAATTACCCACCATTTGTCTTTTGGTGATTTTTTTTTTTTTTTTTTTTTTCTATGCACAGCTTAGATGTGGCACAAGGCCAAAAGTGTGGAATACCCAGAGGGATCAAACTCACTATTCAGTTGTAATTGATCTAGCAGAACAAGCTTGCTAACCATTACACCATGTCAAAGTGTCCTTATGATTTTCTCAGCATAACTTAAATATTGAGCACCCAGTTAGGAGCGACCTCACTATTCAGTCGTAATTGATCTAGCAAGACAAGCTTGCTAATCATTAAGTGCCCAACCATTTGTTGTATGCATATCGAATTACCTCAATCTTAAAAATATGAGGAGTTGTATAAAACAAATACAGGGATTCTGAAGAATGCTATAAAATATGATGTCAAGTTTCAAATAAGAAAAATTGAAATATTAAAAGAAATTAAAATATTGAGATATTAAAAAAAATGTTAAAAGTATAAACGGATGTACCCATAAGAGCCTGTAGGGAAAAAAAAACTGCTTCTCATACAATTACTGTAGTTAAGCAACATTGAGCCTAGTCAATATCTAGAAGGATAACTACTTGGGAATACCATGTTCTATAAGCTTGGATGTGTGGTTACTGTAATGGATAACTGCTATGAATTGGAAATTGGAGAGCTGAGTTCCAATTCTAGTCAGGTTCATTAGATTCACTTACATGCAAATACTCTTGGGAAAGGTATGAATCCACCTCTCTTCCCTCTCTTCCCACAACTATGGGTTAATTAGTAGGACTTGTATCAGTAAATCATTATTATTTCAAAAAATATTCTTAAAATCTAGAAATATTTCTAGCATCAAATCACTTGCAAAAGGTTGATAAGTCATAAAAAAGAAATCCATCATTCAAGCAAGCATTGTCTAATTTTTATTGAATGTTGCTAAAATTACATAATACAAGAAACTTTTTAAAAAAAAAAGTGTATTTTCATCATTGAATGAAAACCATAAATGGGTCCATTTATGAACAAAATGATAGATGATTCAAGTGATTCAAATGATTTTTTTCATTATACTTAGATTAAGTAAAAATTCAGCATGTATCTTGGCACCCCATAGTAAAAAAAAAAAAAGAGGCCCCAATTTTTGTCCTGATATCATTTATATTTCTAAATGTTTCCAAATATCAAAAATTCCATTGAAAAGTCCATGAGGTGACTGCTGAAGACTGCCAAAGATGATTTAGATGGTTGTTTTTCAGGAGAGAGAAAAACTGGGCCTAGAACTAGCTTATGCTAGTGACTGATGCATGTGGAGAGGTAAACTGAGATCCTCTGTCAGGCAGAATCCACCTTCCTTTGTGTGAGATTTATCCTGGTTCAGCCTCAACAAACAAAACACTGCTTTGGTGAGAATGAATAGGGAATATCTGTTAAGCATTTTGGTGAGTTTATCCGGATAAGCTGTTTGATGTCTGATGAAAACATAAAAAAAAGAAAAAAATCTTGCTGAAATTATGCCCAAGGTGCTTTTGACAGACTGTCATTGGCTGTTTTCAAGGAAAGGAGATGGAAAGTCAAACTTTGCTTGAATCTCAGCACACAGTTAAAATGTCTTTGTAAGGTCATTGTTGCCATGTGTTCATTCTACAGTTATAGCATGTGAGCCTATTTTCATCTCAAACATTGGACTTCTTTGTCAAGCTAAGAAATTTTTTAGGCCTTGCAACAATGTGTGTCACAAAGCACAAAATGACCTGTCTTAAATCAAGTGGCAGCACTACTTAAGTAGACTGTTCCCCCAAATAGGGAACATTTTTTTGGAGGGAAATAAGTTTTGTAGATTATCATTTATTAAAAATTTCTCAAGCTAAGACATTTGTTAGAAACAGTAAATATCATCATTTTTTTACTAGAAGTGGGGGGGGACGTCTTCTTTATAATATCAATGCAGTGTAAAATTGGTTCATTTGACTTTTTACAATTATTAAACTCGGCTGTTTTTGTATTTGAAAACAATGTCTGTTTTTTTGTTTCTTTTTTTTTTTTTTGTTTCTCCCAAAAGATTTCTTTTAAATAAATAACTAAATGGTATTGTTTATTCAAGAAAAAAAAATTTGCTTTGCATAAATTAAAAAGAAGTATATATTTATTTTTCATTTAAGATAAATATTTATTATCTCCCAGTGTTTGTACATGTGCTTCCAAAAAATTCCCATACATCAATAAAAGGTTAAAAATTCAAGAAATTTAAAAAATAATATATGCAGATATCAATAGTGTAAACACAGTTTTAAACTTGACATTTGTAACAAAACAATATATCCAATAACTATAAAAAATAGAAAAAAAAAAGGTAGGGATCAATTATACACCAATCAATAGGAGCTCTCTTAATCGATAAAAATAATTTCTCAGTTCTCTGATCGGGAGATTGGAGGTTTTGAGGAGCTTGGAACCACCTGTTAATTACTGTTGTTTCCCGGTCCACTGTGACCTGGAGTGGTAGCACCTGTTAGGGTCCCAGCTATCCCCAAACAAAACACTATGAAAATATAAAATTACCAGCAATACATTTTATAGCATAATTACCAACAATACATTTTGTAGCAAAGTGACCAACAATACATCTGTATTTGAAGGCATAAAATTGTATTAAAGATATTTTGATTTCAGCATTAAATAACCCATAGAGGTTGATATGCCGTGAAACAAAATCAATGAAAGAACTCTTTCATGACATTAATCCATATAATACCCCTACAGTTTCTTAAAGTTATATTTTGGAATACAGTTTGATTTCTTTAACAAAACTAGAACATAAAACACACTTATCACCACCTAGTAATAATGTCCACATGAATATGCACAAAGGATGAGTATCATCTACCATGTATTCAATTATGAAAGCAGAATAATATCATATATCATAATATCATATTTTTATTACTTCCAAGCTCCCCCAAAAATTAAATTTCAGCATTAAATGACCCATGAGTTGATGTGCCATTAAACAAATCAATCTATATAATAAATGCAGATGTCAGTGTGTCACACCTTTCCACTTTACTCCAAGATGCTGTAGCCCAACATAATATATACCATTTTGGAATCAGTCTGACTGTGAGCAAATTAAAAACATTCCAGGCCAGATCTGGACCCACAATCCTGAAATTTTAGATTTCCAATCTTTCATTACTGCAATTGTTTTCAGATTTCGCCAATGGGCTTCTACTGATAAAAACAATTAAAGGGACACAACTCTCTAACTTTCAATAGCTCATGTTCAAATGAAAAAAATTAGTGTTTCAAAATAAAATTGTCTGTGTTTTCAACTTTACTCCTAGAAGCTGAAGACCAACATAGCATACCATTTTGAAATCAGGCCGACCCTGTGAGCAAACTAAAAACATTCCAGGCTGGATCCAAACCTGTAATACTGAAATTTTGGATTCCCAATTTTCCATTACGGAGATTTTTTTTTTTTTTTTTTTTTTTTTTTTTTTGCAAAATTTGTTTTGTATAACAATTTTTATAATTTCTATTTAGAAATAAATTTGAAATTAATTGTGAAATCCAATGAAAGTCACCCATGAAATAAAAATAATTGTTTGTACAGAAAGTAAGGACCTATGTACATCAACTTATCTTTAAATTAAGTGGTGGCAGAAGAATTATCATTGAACTTTTAAAAGGTTAGCTTAAATATTAATGCAATACACAAATGCAGCAATCAATTTTGGGTTCTTCTGTAGTTTTTTGTTATCTATTGCATCTATTCCTCCTTACCTGTTGTGATGAAGGCCCAATCAAGAGCCCTCTGCAGGAGCTAGCTTAAATGCTGCCTGATAGGGCAGCTCTTAAGCTAGTTGAATCAGTAAACATGAGGAAATTCACTCTGCCTCTTTAGGATATTCATAAGGAAAATCAAATGAAATTGGCAACAGAATACATGAAAACCAATTTTTCAGTCCTTCTTTTTACTATGCTAAACTTGATAAGCCAGACTGATGGAGTAAAATTTGGATGGCTATTGGCCGAAACTTACCCTGACAGGCTGAAATTGTCAACAAAGTTGATATGACGTTTTGGGATAATTCTTCTTTTTTTTTTTCTTCTTTTTTTTTTCTTCTTTTTTTTTTCTTTTAAGTCTTTCTCA